GGGCTAAGTTGTCTCAGCTGACACTGTGAGCTGCCCCCCCTTGCAGACATAAACATCTTGCTCTGCGATGCGAGTCTCCCACGGGAATTTACAAGTAGGGTAAGGTCTGCAACTATTCATCGACGTATCTAAGTCACTTATGATCCTACCTATCTGCACCCATGAGTCTTCAAGCAAGCTAAGCATGGTTTAAGCAAGCCTCTTTCGCACTCTCTCTACAAAGTCTCTTCTGCCAGTCGCTTTCCGGGTTTTATTTGAGGACTGCAGCGAGACTTTTCGATGGCGGGGGAGTGGTTTATAACTCAAGAAACGCGGCCACCTGCCACTTCACGAAATGCGCAGTGCGGGGCTTTAGGCCTCCTGATGTTTAGGGTTTAGGAGTCCCCCACCCCCCCGCCCCCCCCTCCCCAACTGAACTCTGCGTCCTTTCAGCCCTGAAGTTGACAAGGCTTCCATTGGACTCATGGGTGCAGGGGTGGAGGCTGTGATTCAGGGTGGTTCTATATATAGGGTGCTTCAAGAAGCGCTGCGCCCGAAAGCAACAGCTCCCAACCACCACACCCCTGCGTTTCCTAGAAGCCTGGCCTGCTCTTCGGGCACGCGCCTGGCATCACAAGGTTGCAGTTAATAGGCTACCCTTGGTGAAGGAGCGTGGCTGAATTCAGCAGGTCTCCCTCCCATGCATTGTTCTCTGTTCTTGCTGGTCCACGCAATGGGAATCTGACACTGACTCTGCGACCCAAATCCAAACTTGAAATGTCCCAACGTCCCCCGCCCGACACTATGCAGGGGCAGATGATGGTTTGGGGCGAAGCGGGTGACACTGGACAGACGCTCAATAAACCTTGGGGACCACATGACCTCCCAAGCGGACTTATGGTTCTTACACCGTACTAGAAGTAGAGGTTGTACAGGGTCCCTAAACCCTGATTAAACCCTAAACCGCCTAAACCCATGTACCTTGCTAGGAAATATGAAGGCTATGACCCGAAGTTTAGCGTTCATTTTGGTCCCTAGAAGGGAAGGATCCTACCCCCCTTCCCCAAGCTTGCCGGGCCTGTGTAGATGCAGCCCCACGGAAGAAGCCTTGCAACCAGGGTTTAGGGTTTAGGGTTTAGGGTCTTTAGACCCCAAATAGAGGGAGGGTTTAGGGTTTAGGGTTTAGGGTTTAGGGTTTTGAGCTTAGGGTTTAGGGTTTAGGGCGCTAAGACCCAACACAAAACATCCACAAAAACAAAGCCCCCTAAGCGCGATCTATAGCCATGACTTCTTTTTTTTTGCGCCTTATGTGTTGTCAGGTGCACATGGTGCACAGGCTGTGAGGGGAGATTGCGGTAGGGATTGCCGTCTTTGACCTCACTATCTTGCGTGGCGCGCAAGCTGTCAGGGGAGATTGCAGTAGGGATTGAACCCCAAACCCTAAACCCTAAACCCTAAACCCTAAACCCTAAACCCTAAACCCTAAACCCTAAACCCTAAACCCTAAACCCTAAACCCTAAGGAAGTATTGCTGGAGGCGGGCCCGTGCTCGGGAACTGGAATGAGCCACAGGCGGACCTACCGGAGCTTCATGGGTACTTGCAAGTGGGGTTATAGTAGGGTAACTTTGCATGTCACCTGATTTGGGCTACTTATGACCCTACTTACAAGCACCCGTGAATCTTCAAGTAGCGGCAGCCTAACTTTTAAACCCTAAGCCCTAACCCCTACTTATAAGTACCCATGAACCTTCAAGTACATCTGAGCCTTAGTGCAGGGCTCCGGGCGTGTGACAAGGAATGTGAAGTCGCTTGGGCAGGATGAGGAAAGCTTAGGGTTTGGGGTTTAGTGTTATAGGGTTAGGGGTTTAGGGATTTAGGATCTTCGGGTGACAGGGTTTAGGCTTCAGGGTTGTGGGTTCCGGGAACCCTTTCCCCAAAGCACAAGATGAACTCGGCGCTGTCTGAGCCCGGTGCAGAGAGACTCCAGTCCAAAGCATCGGCCTCATTGCAAGGATGTGGGGCAGGGCCCTTGACGCCTCTTTAACCGGTGCCTTGGGATGTTCCCTGAAACTAACAGTCCTGAATAGGGATGATAGTAGAGGGTACGAGAATTTCTTCCAGTTTCAAGGCCCGCTAGTGTAAGAAGGTATGCCTTTCAACCATCCCCAACATATACGGGGCTTTATGACTCAGCAACGGGGGGAATGAGTCCCGGCCAGAAGCTGTCCAATGTCCAGAAAGCGTTCAACTCTTGAAGAGTTCCTATATCCAGCTGAGAATAAGGAATTCTGGGACCGTCTTTCAGCTGGAAGCAGCTCCACCACCCCCAAAGTTTATGGCTTAGGGTTTATGATCCCCCCCCCCCCCCCCCCCCCCACCCCCCCCCAAAAACCCCAAAAAGTGGGGTTTTTTTTGGCTTTTTTTTTTTTTTTTTTTGGGGGGGGGGGGGGGGGTTGAGGCCGTCCACTCCTCATTCGCTCGCTTCAAAGCCCTGAGCCCTGAGCCACAAGTCCTAAACAGCCTGGCCTTCAAAAAAACCGCAAGCCCCAACAACGCGGAACCCCTAAAACAGCACAACATGCCCGTGTACTGCCAGAAGCCAAGTTGTTGTTCCCTTCTACGGGGGCTAGTCACCGCATGCTGACATTATACCTTAAGAACTGAAGAACCAAAAATTTCGACGTTTTTTTGCAGGTTCGTAGTACAGATTCACTTGTATAGGATTCTTAGGTAGAAGCTACGATGAAGCTCGTTGTACAGAACCTCTTGTATAGGATTTCTTAGGTATATAAGCTACGACAAAGCAGGCTCTGGGATCTCAAGGGAGGGTGCAATGGCCATCGTCTAGGTCTCCGAGCCCCCGCTTTGGAGGGCAGCTGTCGATCCGCCTGGAGCCGTAGCCCTGCACGGCAAAAGTTATGGGGCTGGGTTGAGGGTTTAGGGTTTAGGGTTTTAGGGTTTAGGGTGTTTAGGGTGTTTAGGGTGTTTAGGGCGTTTAGGGTTTTAGGGTTTTTAGGGTTTTAGGGTAGGGTCTACATATTGGGGCTTATAGTGCTTGCTGACTTTGTTTTCTTGATGGGGTCCCTGCATAAAGAGCCCACGGGGCTTGATGCGTAAGTAAATGCCAACTCATGCGTTCGGCTTGGCAGGTCCAGGTGTCGATGCTTCAGAGCTTAGGGACTCAAAAAAACAGCGGTTGAGGCACTGTTTCTGGCGCGAAGAGCTGCCTGTCTCGGGTCAACGGCAGCTGCGCTGGGAATCCATCTGCAAGAGCCTGCGCCGCGGTTTAAACAGTCTCCATGTGGAGTTCTGGTCCACCTTCGAATAGTTCCGCATCCCTGTAGCTGTGCAACCTGTGACGTTTACTTTCCGAGGCCGCTTGCCATGCCGCGACGTGGCTCGCACTCATAGCCCCGCAGCAGGGCCAGCTCCCAGTACAAGCTTCAGGCTTTGCAGATGGACAACCTCGTGTTCCTGTGTCGCCGTGCACGCGGAGTGGCTGCGCAACACGCTATCACGATGCCCACGGCACGGATGCCAGAAACTTCGGGGGGTCATCCGGTGGCATCCATGAGCCGGTGCTGGTCACTGCGAAGGCGCGGCTGGCCGATGCTCACGAGCTTCTAACACCTCCGTCACCAGCAGCGCTTCATCAATCTCGCGACCAAAGAGCCTGCATCCTTGGAGACCGGATGAACCCTAAAATTGGGGGTCATATACCCCACACTGCTTCCGATGATTATGGACCATAGACCCTTGTGGGGCTCATTTGGTCACTTCCCCCAGATCCCCCTCCCCCCCTTTCGCCCGAGCTGCGGTGGAAGATGCTCTGGCTGAAAGCCCTATATACTAGGAGGTTCATTTAGGTCCTTATAAAGTAGGGTTGCCGAGATAAGGGTGAAAACCCACGAAGGCACTTTTGTTGGTCACGTTTTTGGTACCCTGTGCACCTCCAAGCCCTGAACCCTAAACCCCAAACCCTGGTTGGGGCTTTCGGCATGTTGAAGCGCAGCCGAGCAGCTCCGCACGCAGCCCAGCACCAGGCGAGAAGCCTCGACCCAGGAGTAAGCAAGGAAACCCTAAACCCTAAACCCTAAACCCTGGCTTCAGAACATAAGGGGATAATAAACCCCAACCCAACAAAAAAAGGAAAATGAGGGCCTACTCCGGGTCCTAGAAGCAGCTTCCCGCCGTCGTCTGGCCGCCGCGCGGCGGGCTTCGAGGATGTGGTTTCGGCCCCACACGCAAGCCCAGGCAAAGCCGGTGAAGAACCAGAACAGGAAGCCTCAGCAGGCTACACCAAAGCACCTCCTTCTCTTAAAGCAAGGCATGTCATTCTGTGCCCTATAGGCCGTAAACCCTAGACCCTAGAGCCTAAACTAAACCCTGCAGCCCCCTATCCTAACAAGGGAATCTGGAGACCAGCCCAAGAGCTCAAGACCACCAAGCCAAGGCAGCCCCACATCAATGCATGGAGCAGCCACATGCAGACAGCCCAGACATGGTTCTGCCAGGCATCGCAGGCATCCTTCATGGACTGGGTTTCTACATATTCGCTGCATGGAGGACGTAGGAAGCCGGAGCTTTCGATACACCTTCGCTGCACACTAGCGGCTTAGGCTTTTTTGGGGCTTGCGGTCGGGGTACGTTTGGGGTTTGGGGTCTGGGGTTTGGGGCAGTTTGGGGTTTTGGGTTTCGGAACTTCACCAACAAAGTCAAGCGCATGCTGCACCAAGGTCAAGGCGCACTTTCGTGCTGTTGCACCATCCGCAGCAAAATGGGCCGGTGGAGGGATGAGCACACTCCTCGAAACCTCAATGAAAGGGTGCTGGCAGACTTAAAGGGGATTTAGGGTTTTACAGGGCCTTTAAGGTTTACTCCCCTCCCCCTAATACTAAACCCCCCCCTACCCCCCAATATTAAATACCCCCCCATTATAGTTATATTATAGTATATTGGCGGTTTTTAATATTAGGGGGCAGGGGGGGTTTAGTATTAGGGGGAGGGGATTATTGCGCTTCAGTCCCCTTTGTACGGCTGCTCGTAGTTGGGTAGTCCTCTCAATTAGGGGTCCCTTTTGGGGGGGTCCCTTTCTGATGCAGTGTTTCTTCTTTCAGATACAAAAGGGGACCCTCATTAGTAGAGACCTACCCATTTCAGGTAGCTCCAATAAAGGGGCCAGCATGTCGAGGCATGCCCGAAAACATCCGCCGGTCATGCGCCGGGGCATTAAACCCTAAACCCCAAACCTAAACCCCAGACCCTAAATCGCGAACCCTGAATCCCTCTCCCCACCAGGGTTTAAACTTGTAGGGTTAGAATGTAGGGCTTCATTGCTCACCCTCATTGAGAGTTAAGGTTTATGGTTCAGGGTTGCAGCAGCAATCTCCCAAGGCCTAAGCTGTCGACTCTCTCAAGCTCGCACGCCGGGGGGCTGTAGGGCTATAGAGTCTAAGAGTTTGGGATTTAGGGTTTGTAAGAGTTTAGAGTTTACGGTTTGGAGTTTGAGGTTTAGGGTTTGGGGTTTCGGGCTCCCCTGGCTAATTTTCGATGAGGCGCCAATGTGGTCAGAGCACACGGGTATTGGCATAGCCATGGCGGACAGTACAGGGATACACAGCACAGGGCTCGGTGATGTGTGTAGGGTTTAGGGTTTAGGGTTTAGGGTTTAGGGTTTAGGGTTTAGGGTTTAGGGTTTAGGGTTTAGGGTGGAGGAGGCTCCGAGAATTCTGGTCTGTGGGGTAGGTTAAGGCCAGGGAGGGCCAGGGTTTAGGGTTTAGGGTTTAGGGTTTCGGGTTTAGGGGTCAAACGGTTGTCTAAGGTTGTTGTTCATGTTTCGGCGTTGTGCTTGTACGGGGTTCGCGGGCGGGGTGGTGGTCGTTAGGCTTGGGGGGACGGTTGCGGTGCCCTACCAAAAACATGCTCTTCAGCCTGCTGTGATCTGAGAGAGCGTCGTTTTTTTGAACGCATTGCATGATTTTTCAGGGCCTCCCAAAACTCGAATCCCTAACCCGGCAAACCCTATACGCCCCAGCAGCTCTATGAACCCGAGAATACCTTTCAAACTTTCATTTGTCCACCATTGTCCACCACATACAACACACACCCCCCCCCCCCCCCAAAAAAAAAAAACAACAACAACAACCTTACAAGCCCAACGCCTAACGAACCAAACCAAAAGCCCTAAAAGCCAGAGATAGCCAAAAAAAAACAAAAAAAAACACAAAAAAACATAGTCCTCAATACCCGAGGCCAAAAAAAACAACAACTGACAAAAAAACCCAAAACAAAAAACAAAAACCAAAAACGAAAGCTCTAGACCCACCTCCAAGGCAGAAGTGCGCCTGGCCCTCAGACCTGGCAGGTTGGTTTCTGGGAGGGGGGGGGGAAGGGGGAGTTCAGGGTTTCGAGTGTTCTTTGTTGCCCCCCCCCCGGCCCCCCCTAGCTGAGCTGTCCGTCCGCATTGCAGGGATTTGGCTTGATTAGGATGGGTTTAGGGTTTAGGGTTAGGGTTTAGGGTTTAGGTGCTTAGGGGTTTAAACGGCTCTTGGCCTGGGCTGTGGGAATTGGGGGTCCTCAGCGTGGTGGGACACAATTTTTGACTACCGAGCTCACTGCTTACTTGCGGTGTTAGCAGGAAATGTGAATGAGGTTATATATATATATATATATGTATATATAGAAATATATGTACATAGATAGATATAGCGTGCCTCATTCCCTCATTCCCTACTAACCAACATCAAGTCTAAAGCCAGAGCCCTGAACCCTAAAGAATTAAAAAAAAAAAAAAAAAACTAAACCTAAAGCCTTTAAAAAAAAAAAAAAAAAAAAAAAAAAAAAAAAAAAAAAAAAAAAAAAAAAAAAAAAAAAAAAAAAAAAAAAAAAAAAAAAAAAAAAAAAAAAAAAAAAAAAAAAACTAAACCGTAAACCCTAAACCCTAAAGCAAATAAAAACCTAAACCCTAACTTCGGAAGCCCCCGATGTAGGTCCTCGAAAGATTCTTCACAGCAAGCGGCCGTCCGGCCATGGGAACCCCATGCGTCGGGACGTCCCAGGGCCTCGCGTTTTGGCGCTGAAGGATCCAAGGTCGCGGGCTGACAGGAGGATTAGGGTTTAGGGTTTAGGGTTTAGGGTTTAGGGTTAGGGTTTAGGGTTTAGGGTTTAGGGTTTAGGGTTTAGGGTTTAGGGTTTAGGGTTTAGGGTTTAGGGTTTAGGGTTTAGGGTTTAGGGAGGTATCAGGGTTTAGGGTGAACTTGGAGGTTCGGGGTACATATAACCCCAATCTAAACTGTACTTATCAGCCCCCTAAATCCCCTAAGTCCTCTAAGTAGGTCATAAGTAGAAGTTTGGGGTTACAAGTACCAATGAACCTCCAAGTATGATTTCAGGGATTTCGGACTCTTCGTGAAGGATTCCGCAATGTTGGGATGACATTCCAACGGCCTCCTAATTCCTATATACATTCCCTCCTTCATTCAACCCTAAACCCTAAACCCTTTTTGAAGACTGGAGATGAGGCCAGGGCAGCATCCAACCCTAAACCCTAAACCCAAAACCCAAAGCCCTAGGCCCTAAAGACCCCCAGCTTCAGAAAGGCCGCGGCCGTGGGACGTCGCTCCAGCTCGGCTCCTGGGCAGCTTCTCCGCAGCCCCAGCAGGCTCTTTAGGGTTTAGGGTTTAGGGTTTAGGGTTGCCCTAGCTGGAATTCATGAACCATGGGAGCTTTTGGAGAGGGTAGCTAAAGAAGCCTGCCTAGTGTGGCAGACCTTCCCCAAGGATGAGCCCCAAACGCTCACCACCAAACCCTGTTGCATTCAGGCCCATGAGACTGCCGGGCACTACAAAACCCTAAAACCCAACACCCGGACCACAAAGCTCCATTAATGCCCCCACCCCAACCGCCACCAGCCAGAGCATGGGTCTCAGGTGGAGTATGCAGCGTGTAGGGTGCAAACATGTGCAGCGAATTGGGGGTACCTAATTCCCTCCTTCCCTACTATAACTAGACCCGGGAGTAACCTAGGAATAAAAAGGGTACCCTTGTTGGTTTTTAAGGTGATTATAAGGGAACCCCAACCCTAAAAACAAGAAAAAAACGGGCCTGCTCCCGGTCCTAGACAAGAGCCAATAAGTTTACGGAAGGAGCGCCTCCGCCTGCTCAAGGAGCAGGAACATCGCCGCTGCATGCTCCACCCAGACCTTCGCGTTTGCAACGGGTTTTCAGTTCGTTTGAGGGTTTAGGGTTTAGGGGCCCAATTTAGGGGTGGCTTGGGCCGGGCTGCAAGTACCAGGCTGGCCACGAAGCCCCTCTGAAAAGATCTCCACGGAATCTGAGGAGGGATAAAAACATCACCATCATGGGTTCCCCTACTCCCCCCCACTATACTACCCCCCCCCCCCCCCTAGGTCCCCCGTACACTTAATTAGGCTTATCCCTAAATAGCCTTAATGATGGGGGGAACCTAGGGGGGGGTAGAAGAGAGGGCGTAGTAGGGGAACCCATGACACAAAAGCCCCCTTACACCCTGCACCCCCTTCGCCCTGCAACCCAGTAGAAACGGGGCAAAACCCCAAAATCCGTCCATGTAGCCTAGTGTATACCAAGTTCCAACCCTAAACCCTAAACCCCAAACCCTAAACCCTAACTCCTAGTTACCCTAAACCGTAAACCCTAAACCCTAAACCCTAACTCTGCACATGCTGAAGTTAACGGGTGTTGCTAGAGCTTGGCTTGACAGCCTCGACGGACGCACCGACGATGTCCGGAACCTGCCCGGCTTCTGCACCTTAGCGAAGAGCTCAAATAGAGTGGTAGGGGGTCCCTAAACCCTAAACCCTAACCCCCAAACCCTAAACCCTAAACCCTAAACCTTTGCGGGGGGTTTAGGGTTTAGGCTTTATAAGGTCTTGCACGGGGAAAGCGGGCTTCAACAAATAAGGGTTTCCAGGGTCGCCCTTGTGTACCCCGAACGCAATAGAATCCCCTTATAAGAAGCACCCGGCACTTGCGGAAACCCGAAAATCGGGTAAAATAGGGCTCATCTGGTTCCACAGGTACTTTGCCAGAATCCTACCCAAAATCGATGCTCGTTTGCCCTGTTTCCTGCACACCCTCAGCCCTAAATACCCCAAACCCTCTAAGGCCTAAAAAGCCTAAAACTCTGGAAGACCCAAAATACCCTGAACCCTAAACCCTAAATTCCCGAAATCCTGATTAAACACCCTAGAAATCCAAAATACCCTAAGCCCTTAACATCCCGAAGCCCTTTAACAGAGCCCCCGAGCCTGTGCCCCCCTCAGGCCCACGCTGGCGCTGTCGATGGCATCGCGGAGGGCCTGCGGCAAGAGGGCTGAAGTGCCCTCTAAGCTCCGAGATGGCGATCAGGTTTAGGGTTTAGGGTTTAGGGTTTAGGGTTTAGGGTTTAGGGTTTAGGGTTTAGGGTTTTAAGGTGGCTAGCAGCCACAACAGCCCGGACCCGAAACCCTACAGACCCCGAACCCTAAACCCTGTGTACTAGAATTCCTACTAAGGCACTTGAACCATACTTCTACCTCTTGGTATTCCAGGGTCAAGTGCATACTCAACTCCATTTAGAGGTATTCATGTTGATATAGACATATCTATATTGCACATTTACAAATATATATATATATATATATACACATATGCATTTATGTATATATGTATATACACACACATATATATATATATGTATACACTTGCAATAACTCTTGCAGCAATGCTTGTCTGGAACCGCATGCCTGCTGTTCCTCCTGGTCAGCGTCTGTGGGTGCCTGGCCATCGCAACACCCCAAACCCTGTACTAGGGGCCCCCCAGTTATAAGTAGAGTTATAAGGGCCCTAAATTGGGTGTGAACAGAAGCCCTATACAGGGTGGGGCCCCCTAGTTATAAGTAGAGTTATAAGGGCCCTAAATTGGGTTATAAGGACCCTAAGTTAGGTTATAAGTCCCTTAACTACAGTTAGTACAGTAAGGGGGCCCCACCCTGTAGGGGCCACATCAGCGGCGCAGAGAAGGCCCGTCAGGATCTGGATGGTGAAAGTGAATATTTTATCATACTCGCCACCTCTTCTACTACTACTGCTACTGCGACTACGACGCTTGTGGCTCCAATGTTTGTTATACTGTGATTGTGTGCTTGTGCTTGCTAAGGTAAGAACTAAAAGCACCTTCTTGCCGATGAGCACGATTGTTGGGCTTTGCATTGACCATGGTATTGTTGCTGGCAATATAATCGTTCACGATGACGATTAGTCTGATGAGCGGGGTTCTTGTTACATGCGAACACGTATCGTGTGCACATGTACACGTACAAAATATGTAAGGAAGGAGCCGTATATATATATATATACACAAAAACATGCATTTTATCTGCACACAACTTACAATCAAAGGCCAGTACAAACTGGTAGGAAAATGGTACTTGCCCAAGAAGCCATACCACATGTTCTTTTGGGGTACCCGGTTCTGAGTTCTCTGGAGGTAACCTGTAGGCTACCCTCAATACGCCATTAAAGGTGAACAACATTAGTCCCTTGTTAGGGGATTTGGGTTTACGGCTTAGGGCTTAGAGTTTGGGGTTTGAGGCTGGGAGGGGGGGCGGAGCGGGGGGGGGGGGGGGTTTAGCAGTCCCCTGGCCTGGAAGTCTGCGGAGTCGCCTGCCGAAAGCATGCCCACAGGGTTTAGGGTTTTGGGGTTTTAGGGTTTTAGGGTTTAGGGTTTTGGGTCTAATTAGTTCGGGGCCTTCGTGGGAAGCCTTACCTAAAACCCCAAGCGGCAGAGCATGGTATTCAGGACTTTTTGGGTTGACACTTTGGGCTGTCTTGCTTTGATATCTTGCTTTGAAGCTCCTCTTCTCTATTTAGGGTTTAGGGTTTAGGGTCTAGGGGGTTTAACCCCCCTCCACGCGCAGCTGAGAACGTAAGCTCGGCATCTTACTCCAGCATTTGATCCGGCGGCTGCCTCTGAGCATCCTCACATCTGCTATCCTAGGCTCCCGGAAGAAAAAATAGCTTTACCGGGACCCTGTCTCCATATAAATTACTTCTCCAATAACCAAGAGAAAAAAACAAGGTTAAACTTCAACATTCCTACTAAACAAGGAAACCCAAACAAACTTTAATATTCCTACTAAATAAGGAATATTAACCCTAAATCCAGAAACCCAAACAAACTTTAAGATTCCTACTAACTCAGGCAACCCAAAAAGTTTAAAGTTCACTGTTAAAAGGCGAAGTCAGTCTCCAAGACATGCACGGACTCTCACTCCTCAATCGTCAACCCTGACGCTGCTCCCACAATCCATTTGCGTCAGCCCCAAGATGTCGGGTCCAACTCCTATTTTTGTAAAAAGATATGGAGGTACCTAAACTTAGTTTTTTTATGTAAATAAAATAAAGATATATATATATATATAGGGAAGTCCTGAACCCTAAACTACCTTGCCTCCCTCTGTGGCCGCAGAGTCTTCCAGTTGCGCGTCGGCCTGGCGCCAGAGGCTGCTGCCCTATAAACCCGATAAGCCCTACAAGGAGGGGGCCCCTTACTATACTAGCTATAGTTAAGGGACTTATAACCTAATTTAGGATCCTTTTCACCTAATTTAGGGTCCTTATAACTCCACTTATAACTAGGGGGCCCCTCCTTGTAAAGGCCAAGAGCCGGAGGCAAGACATCGCAAGACGAACCATGCCACCACTGCGAGAGGAATGATGCCGATACCTCACGACAAGGAACGCAAGGGCCCAAGGAACCGGACTTTTGCTCAACCTCACCAGCGATCTTTTGAGGCAGTCGGCTGAAGAAGTTGCCACCGCATTGGCGGTAACTCTTCAGGGGCGAAGCTTCAACAAAGCCTCAAAAGGTCCCTACGACTGCAGGGCTCAGAAGCAGACAGCTCATGGCAGATGCGTCAATGCCTGCCCATCCGAGCTTTCAGCAGTCGCGGAATCTCTCGCAGCGACTCGAGACAGTGCAGCCCATGAGCTTCTACAGAAGCAGAGCTCATCGGAATAGGTATCCCGGAGCTGCAGAGCTGAGCTAACTGAGACGACGGGGTCGCACTGTCCTTCGTGTGAAAAGCCCAAAGAATCCTAAGTACCTATATGGGGTCACTTACCCAAACCATAATAGTAATTCCTATTATAGAAACCCTACTTTCTACTATGCAGGTACTTAGGACCCTTTGGGAAGGAAGGGCCTGGCACAAATCCAACTGACTGTCTCCTCGCTGCCCAACTGGCGCGCGACGGAGGCATGTGGAAATTACTTTGATCCCGCTGTGATCTGCTGGCCTACATACATCCTGGACACCACTCATGCTGTAATCTCCAGCATTTGCTGATAAGAGCCCCCCCCCAAAAAGATAATAATTCCTGTAGTACCCTTATAAGGAGGAATGTCGTCAACTTTCTGGGGAGGGGTTCTTGAGCAAATAGTAGTTCCAACGCAGATACACAGGGATCCAGACCCTGGCGGCAAAAAACAAGGTTCCGCACTTAACGGCTCGAAAAGCCCATGTCCTTGGGGACCAAATGAACCCTAAAAGGGCTTATGGCTCATAATACCTTAAAAATAAGAATTCCAAAAATATAGAGAATATATCCAATCTTAGGGTTCATTTGTCTTACTTTGGTCCCCAGGGTTGTGGAATCGCAATGAATTGCGCGATCATTTACAGCACGATCTCGGTAACGGTCTCTGCGAAGACCGTGGTGTTGTGGCAAGTGCCCGTGACCTTGCCGCCCCAGGCTTTAGCCACCGCTGCGGCGCGATCCGCATGCGAGGCAGGGAGGTGGGTCAAGTTGGCATTCAAGCAGTACACCGGCCACTTGCCGCATTCGCCATTCTGCTTGCACACGTCCCCCGTGTCGGCCACCTTCTCCTTGCCCAAGCCGAACAGGCCAAAGGACATCTCAGAGCCGCCAAGCCAGTAAGCGGTTTGAAACTGGAAGACGGTGACGCCGAGAAAGGGATCCGAAGAGTTGTGGGCCAACTCTGCCATAGCCTCCACGTCGCTCTGGATGGCTGTGTGTGCTTGGTTCAACGCACCGAACTCACCGATGAACCAAGACCGGTTGCCGAAAGGGCCGTAGTTCTTGCTGATCACGTCGTGGACGAAACCCCAGGGCGCTTGCACGTTAAGGCCGTTGATCCACCTCTTGTCAAAGGCTGCAGCCAGGTCTTTCGCAGGTGTACGAGGGGCATACTTGGCAATGGATGGGTCGGCGATGGCTGCCAACATGTCCTGGAAGCCGAAGTATCCTTGGTAGCCCAGTAACCATTATTATAACCAGAGCACCTTTTGTTGGGGTGGTTGCTTTATAAGGGAACCCCTAGGGTAAAGGGTACTGGGCTACCAAAGTAGCCAGGGCATTTCTTGCACTTGCCATCGATGGAGTCCGTGTTGTTGAAGGACCAAGTGGTTGCCAGGTTCCTTTGGGGCCACATGAACCCTCAAAGCATCTATGGTTCACCTTTACCCTCCTAGGAGTTATGGTAGTACTAGGGTCATCATGAACCCCCCCCTCCCCCCTAAACCCTAAACCCTAAACCCTAAACCCTAAACCCTAAACCCTAAACCCTAAACCCTAAACCCTAAACCCTAAACCCTAAACCCTAAACCCTAAACCCTAAACCCAAATGTAGGGTTCCGAACTTCGGTGCCCAAGGTTCACCCGGCCGGGCCGGATGCCCGCCTCGCGCTCGGCAGCCAGGAGGCCATCCAAGCCCGAGAGCACGGCCTTCACCCGGCACCAGGGGGCGGCACCCGGACATTTGGGGTCGTTGCCAAAGAAGTCGGGCTCGTTCATGATGAGCACCGTGTGGATGGCCGGGTGCCAGTCTTTGCCTTTGGCGAAGCCCAAGGAGAAGCCGGCTTTGATGACCGTCTTGACCGTGTCATAGCAGTCGAAGTTCGTGCAGTTGTAGAGCCCGAGGTTGGAATCGATGCCAGGCATGACGTTGAGCCCCTGCTTCAGCGCCTCGTCAAGAAAGCCGCTGTGGTCGGTGGCGGGGCCAAAGCCCAAGGAGTCGTAGAGCCGGACTGTGTTGGCACCAAGGTTCTTGATGACGCCCAGGTCGTTGCGGCCGGCGGCGCCCCACTGCGTCTTGTAGCCGAGCTGCATCACGTCTTGGCTCGGCAGCTGCTTCTTGCAGTTGCTGTCCGCCGTGCAAGGCAAGGCAGCATAGGCAATCCCGCGCATAGGACCAAAGGCCAGAGGAGCGGGAGCCGGCCCGGGCGAGGCGCCATGCGAGCTGGCCGCGATGATGATCGCAACGATCGCGGCAATCAGCACCAGGGCGGCCATGATGCTGGCAATGACACAGTTCCAGCTGTAGCCGCACCATTTCTGCGGCTGCTCCGCCGAGGGCTCGCCATCGGTCACCGCCATGGCTTCGAAGCCAGAAGGCCTATCTGACTGCACTGGGCCTAAGTCGAACCTGGCTCGAGCCAGCCCCCAGAGGCTCTAAAAACTCAGGGTTTCTCGTGTTTAGAGGGTTTAGGGTTTAGGGTTTAGGGCCTAAAATTCAGGGTTTCTAAGGTTGAGGGTTTGTTGGAGGGGTTAACCTCATCGAAGAAAATCCACTCGCATCTGCTGTATACATGTCAGCTTATCCCCTAAAAACCCTCCAGGGATCGGTTGGGCCCTTAAAGAGCTCCACTTACCTAGGAAACCCTAAACCCGAAACCCTAAAACCCGACTGTACAGCCTATAAACCATGTCAAAGCAGAGAGCTGGTGCCCGGCAATGGCCTCAAAGAGCCCGTAGAGCTCGTGCCAGAAGTGGCCTGTACTTGTGCTGGCGGGCATCGCGGACCTTTGCAGGGGGTTTAGGCTTTAGGGAGGGTTTAGGGTTTAGGGTTTAGGGTTTAGGGTTTAGGGTTTAGGGTTTAGGGTTTAGGGTTTAGGGTTTAGGGTTTAGGGCGGGTTTAGGCTTCCATAGAGGGTTTAGGATCTTCAAAGGTGCAACAGTGCGACAGCTTTTTCTTGGAGAATTAGGGGTTTAGGGACCTAAAGTTCAATTAGGGTTTAGGGTTTAGGGTTTTTTTTGCCACCTTGGTACACTTCTCGATTTGTGCGTTTAGGGTTTAGGGTTTAGGGTTTAGGGTTTAGGGTTTAGGGTTTAGGGTTTAGGGGTTTGGAGCTGAGTCTAAGGGGGCCTCCTACGTCGTTACCAGGCCACGACTTGGCAATTCAAACAAGGTCATGTCCGAGTTGCTTTCCGAATTCCATCCCTAAACCCTAAACCCTAAACCCTAAACCCTAAACCCTAAACCCTAAACCGTTTTTTGAACCCGGGCTCTCTAAGGTGCCAGCACTGGAGCAGCAGAGGATTCTCAACCCCAAGCCCTAAAACCCTGCAAGACTCTGTAGGTAGGGTTTTCACCTAGGCTGCCCAGTAACCTAGGCTGAAAAAGGGCGCCCTTTTTTGCTTAAAGGGGTTGAAAAGGGAACCTAAACCCCCCAAAAAGGGAATAATGGTACAGCTGGGCATCCGAGTCACAACCTGGCAACTACAGACAGGACAGTGTACCCTCAGGTCTGGTATGCTCGGCGTAGCCCCCTAGACGTGTCTTCTCCGGCCCTGGGGGGGGGGGGGGGGGGTACCCCTATGTGGGAGGTTCCTAGAATCAGGATTGTAGCGTCTTGGGGTATTTTACGGGGACCCCTATTGTGGGAAAAGACCGAACCCCAAAAACCCGAAGCAGCACGGGGAACGACGATCGCCAAGAGCTTGGCTCGAAGACCAGTGACTGCACCTCAACACAGTAGGGTTTAGGGTTTAGGGTTTAGGGTTTAGGGTTTAGGGTTTAGGGTTTAGGGTTCAGCGCTTTCGGGGTTGAAGGATACTTGTAGTTGGACACCCACATGATCCCACATGATGGGGTTTAGGATTTGGTGCTTTCAAGACGACTGTTTTGAAAGGACGTGACTCTCAAGGGATAAAAAGCAGGGACCCCTAGAAGGGACCCTGAATCTTCGTACCCCTACATATCTCTGAGATTAGATCCCAGGGCAACCAAGAGAAAAAAAACAAAAAAAAAACAAGTACACCCAATTCTGGAGAAACAAAGGCAAAGGTACCTCTGGTCCAGTCTCGGATGGCGCGCTCTGAGGGATAATTGGGCCCTAAACCCTAAGCCCTAAACCCTAAACCCTGAACCCCATACAGCACCCCAAGCGAAGCCAAACCATCAACCATCTCAAAGAACACACCATCTCACACCCTACTTGGAGGTTCAGGGTACTTCTAACCCCCAATTTCAACTGTACTCATAAAGCCCCCCGAAGTCCCCTGAGTCCTCTAAGCATGTTGCAAGTAAGACTTCTGATTCGGGTTAGAAGTACCCATGAACCTCCAAGTATGACCTGAATCTCAGGGCACATGGTCCCTTAGCAAGGGCCCTTAAAAAGGGAACGCCTTGTCTACCCTCTTTTTATACCCTATCAAGCCCAAGGGCCCCATATAGTAAAAAACCTACATGAGCCCTGCCAGGAGGCTCCGGATGTACTTCTTTTGTGGGTCATAATTGGTTTTAGGGATTTTGGTATACTAGCCTGAAAAAGACCACATTTGGGGCGTTGAAGGGTTTTGGGGGCTGGTTTGGGGTTTTGGGTTTTAAGGTTTAAAAGGGGCATTGGTTTAGTTTTCGGGAAGGTTTAGGGGGTTCTAGAGTGCAAGGCTTGAGACATTAAACCCCAACCAACCTGCCATGACCTCCAAGGCCCTAAGCCCTAAGCCCCAAGCCCCAAGCCCTAAACCCTAAACCCTAAACCCGGGGCCGGCACCATGGAGGTAGTGGGGGCGCTGGCTGGCGTCTCCTGGGTTGGGGGTCTCATCGCTCGCGCTCGGACAAGTCAGGCGAGGCACACGTGGTCAAACGTCCTTCACTTGTAGCCCTGGGCCCTCGGCTTGGGGTTTAGAGTTTAGAGTTTTGGGGCTTGCTGGCAGGTTCATGGTTACCTGTAAGTAGGGTGAGAAGAACCGTAAATAACCATAATAGTTACCCCACTTGTGGGGGGGTTCCGGTTTTTGGGCTGAGGGAGGGTTTGGGGTTGAGGCAGATGAGGGACGTCTGGAAAGGGAACCGCCCTAAACCGCCCTAAACCCAAACCCCCTAAACCCTATACAAGCCCTTGACAAGCTGTAAGCCCCCCAAAGAGTCCATGCGCCCTGCCTGGGCACCACATGAACCCAAACAGTCGGTCTTCTACCCTAGACTGCTAGAATTCCTATTTTAAGGATCTATGAACCATCAACCGTTTTAGAATTCGTGTGGCCTTGCGGGCCCAGGACCAAAATTTACTCTTTGTCAAGAAAGGGGAGCTGGATGCCGCAACTGGGTTCTAGGATCGTCAAGTCTCTTCACCTGGAAGGATCCCAACACAAAAGCCTTTACAACAGGGAGGTGGCTGTCTGCACACTTTGAGAAGAGATGCTCATCTTCTCCGCCCTAAAATATAAGGGCGTGGAGCCTATAGGGTAAGCCCCTCAGAATAGCTTTCCGGCCTCCACTAGCTCATTCTGCCGCCGCTCCAGATCCTGAGGCGCGCCCCGCAGGTCTGCTTGGAGGTTCGCTTGGGTACATAGTAAGCAGGGTTATAAATTATAAGTAGGGTGACTATGGCTGTAATTCATATTTATATTCTTAGATAGGGTACTTATGTTATAACCCTACGTCTAAGTACTCCAGGCACACACGCACACGACTTTTGAGGGGAATGAATTAAATTACAGCGGTCTTTTGGTTTGGGTCTTTGAGGGTCTGGGGTTCTTTGACTCGCGCAGTATTTTCGGACTTTAGGACGCAAGCTCCTCCAGCACGCAAACTCCCCCCCCCCCCCTGCAAAAAAAAAAACGAAACCCTCAACCTGAACCACTCCACTGAAACTCTAAACCCTAAACCCCAAACCCCAAACCCTAAACCCTAAACCCCTGACCACTCAACTGAAACCTCTTGATGCTCCCTCGGCCCCCACTGATCTCCTCGATGTCCGGCGGCGTTCCCAGGCTCGGTGACCTCAGGCATCGGCCGCGTTGGGAGATTGTTTTCGATAGAAATATGGGGGGGGGGGGTTAGGGTTTAGGGTTTAGGGTTTAGGGTTTAGGGTTTAGGGTTTAGGGTTTAGGGTTTAGGGTTTAGGGTTTAGGGTTTAGGGTTTAGGGTTTAGGGGAAGGTTTCCGAGAAACCCCAAGCCCCCCCAAACATGGCCTTGTGTCTGGAGGGCTTCGGCTTTCAACTTGAAAGTTTTTTTAGTGTTTGGGTGAATTATGTAGGGTATACCCTCACCCCCCCCCCCCCCCCCCGGCAATTTTGGTTTTTTTTTTTGGGGGGGGGGGGGGGGAGTGTGAGGTCCTCAGTCTTGGAGGCCGGGCCCCCTTTCTTCATGTCACCCCCCACGCGGAAAGCATGTCATGCTAGGGCCCGCTCAGGGTTTAGGGTGTTTAGGGTTTAGGGTTTGGGGTTTGGGTTTTGGGGTTTTGGGTTTTGGGGTTTGGGCTTAAAACCCCCTTAACGAACGCAAATGAAGATCAAAACTGTCGTGCCTGGGGCATCATTCTTGCCGAACGGACGCCCTGCACCCTAAATCCTGAACCCTAACCCCTAACCCTAAGCCCTAAACCCTAAACCCCAAACCCTAAACCCTGAACCTGACACGGGCACCCCCCCCCCCCCCTGTTTGTGTCAGTTTCGGGTGTTTAGGGATCTTGCCCTATTTGGAGGTTCATGGCACTTATTAACCAGTTGTAACTGTACTTAACTTATAAGCTTATAAGTGTACTTATAAGCCTCTGAAGTGCCCAATATAGTTTACGTACAGTTACAATTGGTTAAGAAGTACCCTAAACCCTAAACCCCAAACCCCAAACCCCAAACCACCCTAAGTACCACTGGAGAGTCGATGTTGCAATCGCGTCTCAGGGGTGGACGAGTCGTCGGTAGCAGGTCGAAAAGCCTGCGAGGCGCTTCCGCGCGCGGAGAAACAGGGTTTCGGGCCTGGGGTTTGGGGTTTGGGGTTTAGGGTTTGGGGTTTAGCCACTGGCCGAGGTGGGCCACGACCCATCTTACCCAAGGGCTGCACTTTTTCAAAACACCCTTTCGGGTTTAGGATTTAGGGTTTCGTGTTTTCGGGTGGTAGGGTTTTCGGGGGGTGCATCCGGGCAGTCGCGGGGATTGCTATGGAGCAGACATCCCCCAAGTCACAGAACTGGCTGCAACCGATGGAGCGAGGATTTGTTTTGTCAATTTTTCTGTTTTTGTTTGTGTTTTTTTGTTTTTCCTTGCTTATCTTATGGTTTTCTGAACATGCCCTCTGGTTCTGCCTGTCCTCCTCCTCTGGTTGGAATTCTTTTCTGTGCATTTTGCTGTTTTTTTGGTGAATTTTGCTGGCTTTCAGCTTCCGCAGGCTCCTCAGCGGTACCGCATGTCCGGAACCTGACCACATCTAATATCCCTTGGGGTAGCAACCCCCCCCCCCCCCCCCCAATTTGCAAACATGGTGCTCGCATGATGGGTTTGGACGGGATTCTTATCGTCTTAAAGCAAGCTTGCGCGCCTTCAACAAGCCGGGGGGTTTGGGGCCCCCCACTCTCCCCCCCCCATTTGCAAAGCGATGTTCGCAAAATGAGTTTTGGGAGCGATTCGTTGAACTAAAATGATGAGTTTTGCAAGGGATTCGTATGGCCTAGAAGCACGCTTGGGCGGCTTATAAAAAGGCGGGGGGTTTGGGGGGGGGGGCGCAGCCCCCCCCCCCCCATTTGCAAACACAATAGTTTTCAAATGGGATTTGTTTGATCTAACAGCTAACAGCACGCTTGCACGGTTCTGAAAAAAAGCGGGGTTTGGGGGGGGGGGGGGGGGGCAAGGCAAGGGATTCGTGTAACCTCAAAGCACGCTTGCACGGCTTTAAAAAAAAGCGGGGGGGGATGCGGAGGGGCAGCCCCCGCCCCCGCCATTTGCAAGCACAATACTCGCCCCCACATTTGCAAACGCAACACTCGCATGATGAGGCTTCATATGGTCTCGAAGCAAGCTTGCAAGACTTAAAAGCGGTGGGGGTTTGGGGGGGGGGGGGCGGGGGCAGCCCCCCGCATTTGCATGCAAACGCGATGCTAACAATGACGGGCTTGGAAGGGCCGGAGTGGTATATGGTCTTAACATGTCTTAAAGCAAGCTTGCACAGCTGGACCACAGTACCGGTCTCTCCTGACCAGGGGAATGCAGGACCATTTGACCACAGGACCAGAGGACAAGCCAGACCTAAGAAAAGGGAAAAGACAGAGCCAGACCTAGGCAAAAACAACACCGGACCCCGGCTAGAGCCGTAATCCCTTACCTCAAACACTCAAACCCTGAACCCTAATTACAAACCTGAATCCTTCGGGTTTACTACTGCCCGGCCGCTGTGCCGAAGGGCGTTTGTTGTATCCTCACAGGTTCCACATACGGGTTTTGGGGGTCTAGGGTTTATGGTTTAAGGCGTAGGGTTTTTAGGGTCAACCAAGAACGTGCCAAGCGAGCGGAACCCTAAACTCCTTCCATCCTTCCTTTCTTTCTTTTTTTTGTTTTGTATTTCGTTCGTTTTTTCTTTTTGTTTCTGTATTTATTGCTTTCTTGCTCTCTCTGTTTCTTTCTCTCGTTATTTCTTTCTTTATTCCTTTCTTGCTTCCTCACGTCCTTACCTTCCTTTATTTCTTTATTTATTTTATTCTTTCTTTATTGCTGTAGTTCTTTCTTTCTTCCTTTCTTCCTCTCTTCCTCCCTTTATTTCTTTCTTTCTTGCTTTCTTGCAGTCGTTGTTTCTCTCTTTCTTTCTTGTGCTTTTCTTTATTCCTTTCTTCCTTCCTCCATTCCTGCCTTTCCTTTTTGCTTTCTCTCTTTCTTTGTCTTTCTTTCTTTCTGTCTTTCTTTCCAGTCCTGCCTTTCTTTTCTTTCTTGTTTTTTTTCTGTCTTTCTTTCTTTCTTTCTTGATTTTTTCTGTATTTCTTTCTATTCCTGCCTTATTCTTTCTTTCTGTATTTCTTTCTATCTTTCTTTCTATTCCTGCCTTTCTGTCTTTCTTTCTTTCTTTCCTGATTTGTTTCTTCCTCTTGCTTCCTTCCTTTCTGTCTTTCTTCCTCTTGCTTCCTTCCTTTCTGTCTTTTTTTCGTGCCTTAAATTTGACAAAACAAAAACAGGAAAAAACACAAAAAAACACAGAAAAAAAATCACGGTACCCGCAACCGATGCTGCTCAGGAACATTCTCGACAGTAAGTACTAGGAGGAAGTGAAACCCAAAAAAAGGAAACATTAAAAATCACCCACTGTCACCCACGGCCTAACTAGTTGTTTTTTTTCGACGAGTAGCGCAAGTTTTTTTTGTAATGCAAGCAGCCAGTCTGTGGTGTGAGAGTCGCAAGGAGGCACTGGACCCCTTTGGAGCTCGGAAGATATTTTAGCTTCCTATAGGCCCCATGCAACACTATAGTGGCCTAACAGGGAATCAAGAGCGCCAGTAATTCTATCTCATGATACTGCTATGTCATTATAGACTTGTTATGTGTGTATATATATATATATGTATTCTGATAAGAGAGAGGGAGAGAGAGAGAGAGAGAGAGAGAGAGATATATATATATATGTATATGCCGCAAGCAGCTGCCTGGCTCAAGGACATCAGCACTTCGGAGAGTAGCGACCACGATCCGGGCCTTGAAAGGCTTGAGCTGGAGATTCAGCTGGCAGCTTCGGGTTTAGGATGCCCCTTAAAAGCCTCTGAAACATATTCCTAAATCTAATCCTCTCAAACCCAATAAGGGAAAATACAAGATGTCCCATGGGCCTACCAAGGGGTTTAGGGAGTGTCTAGGGAGGCTTGTTACTCAACGATTGCTGCTTTGTCGAAGGCTGTCCAGTTGTCCAATCTAATCACTTGTACCACCGAAACATGGACTCCTAGTCAATACAACAAGTACATTGAGGTGCTCTGTGCTCTGCTTTGTTTAAAGGGGCTTATAATGGAATCTAAACCCTGTTAAAGGGGAATAAGGGCCTACCTTGGGCAATTCTAAATCCTAAACACCCTCCTTCTCCTAAACCATCCTAGACCCCAATCTCGGGTCCTTGGCCAACGGTAGCTGGGGACGCGAACGTTAGCACAAGGCGCAGCGTGGGTAGCCGGAGTGACGCGTGAAAGCGGTGGCCTGCCAGAAGGTGTGCAGCTGAGATTCACATGTGCGCGCCCTGTTGAAGTTTATGTTTTGCTCTGGTCCCTAAGCATAACGGAACAATCTGAAACCCAGAAGTTTTCCCAAAGAGGTCGACATGGGGCCATGGGGCACCAGCTCGCGGAGTTGAAAGGCGTAAGTTAACAGGGGCACGAATTCTTGGCCCCCCCACCCTTCTTGTGATAAGCCCCTTTGGATAAGTCCTTAAACCGACACCCTTGGGGCGTATACAAGGCCTCCACTAGGGCCTTCCGGGGCGTTCCCCAACCGGCCTGAAGCAACTCACCGCAACCCTGAACCTGTTTGTATTTTTAAGCCAGAATCCCGAACCCTGAACCTGAACACCCTAAACCCGAAACCCACAAACCCCAAAGGCCAAAGACCTTTAACCCAATAGCGACCTAACCCCTGTAAAGAACCTTAAGCCCGAATAAACTGTAAACAAGCCTTACACCCTATAAAGACCTTGAAACCCCACAAAGACTCCTACACCCTATAAATAAAGACCCCTAAACCCTTTTACGCTAACCCCTCTTGGTAGCCCAGTAACCATATATTGGAATATGGGCACCCTTTTGGGGGTTGGCTACTTCTTCAGTCAACCCAGAACCACCAAAGGGTAAAGGGTACCACGGGGCTACCTACAGCCCCCTAAACCTCTAAGCACTTTTCCCTAAACCCTGAACCCCAAAACCCTAAGCCCCCAACCCTGAACCCCAAAACAAAAACCCCTAAAGCCCACCTAAACCCTAAACCCTAAACCCTAAACCCTAAACCCTAAACCCTAAACCCTAAACCCTAAACCCTAAACCGCGGCCTGAGGCCGTGAGCTGCCGCCGCAGCGTCAGAACCTTCGCAGGGTGTGGGGCGGTGAAGATCGCCGTGTCAAAGGTTGCCCTAAACCCTTTTTGCAACACTGGACTGAAGGCAAGCCACACCCAAAGCTCTTAAGCAACTGCCAACCCTAAACCCTAAACTCTAAACACCAAACCCTAAACCCTAAACCATAAGCCCTAACCCCCTCCCCCTCTCCCGCAAAAGAGTCGAAGGTGGCTCCCCTCCAACGGCGCTCGAGGGCTGAACAAAAAATCGGTGTCGTGCAGAAGCTCAGACACCTGGAGCCCTCACTAGACCAAAGAATTATCTTAGAGGGTTTGAGGTGTTTGGGGGCTTTAGGGTTTAGGGTTTTGGGAAAAATTGGTTTTTGGTTTTGGTTTAAAGGAGGCTTTCAAGGGGGCCTACTCTGGCACCTAGCTCAGAAGCCCTAAGCCCTTCCTACACACGCTCGGGCTGCTTAGGCTGCTTACTTTGCCCGGGACTCCCGGGCAAAAACCAGAACTTCGCATCCTAAACCCAAACCCGAAAACCTTTTGCAACAGGCTTGCCGCCTCGCCCGGAGTTGGTGGCACCCTCAATCCTAAACCCTAAACCATCTTTCTTGGCGCCCAGCACCAGCTCCCCCTGTGTCCTGGGGCGGAGACTGCACACGGGGGGGGGGGGGGGGGAGGGGGGGGGGGGGAGGGGGGGGAAAGGGGGGGGGGGGGGGGGGAAGGGGGGGGGGGGGGGGGGACGGTTTATGAGGTGATTTATTTCCCCCCACCCCCACACCTCAAGAAACTTAAACTCTTGTCACAGAGTCTTGTCCCCCAAGCAAGTACTCATGCAAACTGCTGAGTTTCATGTAAGCTGAGTTGCTTCAAACGGTGGTTGCTTGGACCTTGAAGCTGAGAGTAGGGACACCTTTTGCAACCAGGTCTCTGCAGCCGTAGGGACACCTGAATCCTACAACCTAAGCCGTCCAGAACCTCAATATTGGTGTTCCGTCAAAAGTTTCTACGTACAGTACATACATACATAAGTACATACATGCATACAAACATTCATACGTACATACATGCACACGTACGTGCACGCATACACACATGTGTGCATGCACCCCGGCTGGACAACGATGGACTGTGAACGACTGAGCTTGGCAAGCTCCCGAGCTCCCAAAAAAGTTGGAGAAAATGAGCGGGGCACCAGTCTCGACAGGCGGGTAGAACCCCAAACCCTAAACCCTCACCCTATAGCCTTGTTGGCCATGGAAGGCCTTACTATCCCGATCCCTGGCCCCCAAAACTTGCCCCCATTCTGTCCCCAACCACCATGGCAAATGCAACCCTTAAATCAAGAGCAACCAAACACAGCTGACCCCTCTTTCCCCAAAACTCCAAACCCTTTCTGATATCACACCCTAAACTCTCGGCTCTTAGTCTACTTACAGCCTACTTAGAGGACTTCTAGGGGACTTACAAGTACAGTTATGATTGGGGGTTCTAAGTACCCTGAACCTCCAAGTAACTCCTAAGTCCGTCCTGACTGTCCGAAGTGGAGGCGACCGTGACTTCGCCTCGCGACGAGCATTAAAGCCCTTCGAAGCTGTGCAAAGGTTGATATTGGGGTTTCCGAAAGTAGGGGTACCTTACTATTTCGGGGGTCTAAAGTAGGGGTCCTTCATTTTCGTAGACTCCCGTATTGACTTTCCATAAGAGCCCCAATCCGTGTTTAGAATAACGGGATGTTTTGGTAGCTGCAGACCGTCGGTTGGGGTCCGAAGGGAGACATCTATGCTTTGGCGGTCATGCAAGAAGAAGAAAGGGTGCATATTGGGTGTGCGATACTTTGCGCTGGAGACTAATCGCATTCACATACACCATGCAGCTTGCGCAAAATTCACCGACAGATTGCGCTCTTGAACATGTCTTAGCGCCTAGGCACTTCTCTCTCCTAGGTGCTTACAAACCCCTATTTGACGGTTCATGAAGTTATAACCTCATTTAGGGTAGGTATAACATATAACTTAAACCCTGAACCCTCAACCCTAAACCCTGAACCCTAAGACCCCTTTTTGCACCTAGCCGACCCGGGGCCTTCGTGATCTGAAGCAGGAGAGGAAGCCTTGGTAGGCCAAGGGCAGGTGATTCCAAGTTCGGGGATCCGTGCTATATAGATTGGGATGTTCCGGCCCCTATACTAACAGTCCTGAAAAAGGGATTATAACTACTACAATCCCTATTAAGGACTGTTAGTAACATCCCAATATATGACCCTTGTATACGCTATATCCAAAAATGGACCACACACTAGGGCCCATGGTTCCTGACTTAGACAAGTCTCTGTTCAAACCAGTGGGTTTAGGGAGTGTAGAGAGTTTAGGGTTTAGGGAGTTTAGGGAGTCTAGGGTTCAGGGTTTAGGGGGTTTAGAGAGTTTAGGGAGTTGAGAGTGTAGGGCTGAAGGGTTGGGACTTCAGAGTGTATGGTTGGGTGTTGAGGGTTTAAGGGGCTTGGGTGGGCCAGTTCTCCTAAAATTCTCGGATAAGCAACCACTCTTTTTAGGGTTTCGGGTAAGGGTTCAGGGTTGAGTTTCGATACTTTCTTTCTAGGAACCGCACGAGGAATTTCAGGATCAACGCCCATACACCACAGAGCCTGACATGACTCGAATTCTCCGACCACCCTCGACCAAAACCCCTCACCTAACCGTAGACCCCAAACCCCAAACCCCAAACCCTAAACTCTATAGCCCTAAGCCCTAAGCCTTAAGCCCTAAAACACAGGACAGGTTCTGCTTGTGAGGTTCTCAGGCACCCGCCAGCTCCTTGCAATCTCCCACGTTGGGCCTGCAGAAGGTCGGCTGGGAACAGATGAGCCCGAAACTGGGGTTTAGAGTTTTTAGGGTTTAGGGTTTTTAGGGGTTAGGGTTCAGGGTTTAGGGTTTAGTGCTTAGGGTTCAGGGTTTAAGGGTTTCGAAGCCCCTTGCCTCCTTCAAATAAGCAGGACTTGCTGACCCTAAGCCTGTAAGCCTGAGACGTTGTTCTGATGCATGGACTGAAGTCTAGGCCCTACGTAAGCCTGGGTTTAGGGGTTGGTTTGCATAGGGTTTAGGGTTTATAGGGTTTATAGGGTATAGGGTTTATAGGGTTTATAGGGTTTACAGGGTTTATAGGGTTTATAGGATTTATAGGGTTTATAGGATTTAAGGTTTAGGGTGAAAGTGCAGAGTCTTGCTTGGACTGGTGTCGCCATGTCTGGATTGTTGAACTTGTTGCGGCGACTTTTGCTTCGGGCCGTTCATGACTGAGGGACATCTTCCGGTGCCACTTGGAAGTTCATAAGTACAAATAACTGATGTAACCTTATTTCGGGCAATTCGGGTTATTGTTTATAACTTATAACCCTACTTGCAAGTACCCATGAACCTGCAAGTAAGCTATCACTCAGTGCGACGCACTCCATATTGCTTTGATCATGAGGTTCAGGCGCTTCAGGCGCTGTCTTGCAGCCAGGGTTAGAGGGTTTAATCGCTCACGCTCGGACAAGGCAGGGGTGAGGCACGCGTCGGGGGGTGTCCCTACTTGCGTGTACAGCGTACTTATATTGCACCAATTATAACTGTACTTATAAGCCCCTTAACCCCCGAAAGTCCTCTAAGCAGGTTATACATAGGATTCTGAATTGGGGTTACGTATATGAACCTCCAAGTAAGCCCTGGACCGGGGCTGAGAAGGGGTGTCTGGGCCAGTGTTTGGGCTTCATAGACGTTAAACTACTAGCGTTTTCGGGTGGTGGGTCTTGGATTTCTTTGCGTAAGACGCCGCTTGAAGAGCTTCGAGTGTATGCAAGGCTTTGTGTTTTTTTGTTTGCCTCCCGCCTAGCTGAACTGAATGCTTGGGTGCGCAGGGTTTGGGGCTCTTAAGATGCCCCCACGATGCCGAAACTCTTCAGACCTCCAAATGGCTATCCTTTGCTGGGGCAGCGACAGAATGCCGAGGCTGAAGCCACCAACCTAGCACGGATTCCCGGGCCTTACGCCTCGTTTGGGGACAAACCCTAAACTTGAACCAGAAACCCTGAGCTCCTAAACCGTGTTGTCTCGAAGTTAATGTACCCTTGTTGGCGCGTCCGGTTACACTGCAGCCAGGCAGGGCAAATGAAGACTCTAGACAGAAGAGCCCTCAACTGTGGATCCTTTGACCACTATTGGAAGAATTCGTAAGTTAATCTTCCCAATCTATCTTCCTAAACCCTAAACCCTCAAGGCCCTCAACCCTAAATTCCGGGTAGAAAAAAACGAACCGCAGAAATTGCTGGCGGTTCGCAAAGGCAACAATAGACAGCAAGTCTCAGACCCGGGAGTAACCTAGGAATACACAGGGTGCCCTTTTTGGGTTCTAAGGGGATTCTCAAGGGAACCCAAGCCTTAAAACAAGGGAAGAAGGGCCTACTCCCGGCCGGTCCTTGTAGGGTAGTTGCATGGTTTGTATGGATTTTCAGTATGGACCCTTAAGAGGGGGACCCCTTACTTTATCCTCTTTAGAATCTCTTTAGACCCTATACGACACAACGGCCCAAGAACCCAGAAAAATAGAAGAACCATTCTTCCTTATTAAGGCTAATATAGGGATTATTATTTATCATTCTTTTGGGGTTCTTAAGCAAACAGTAGTAATGTAGCCCCACCTTCCTCAAGGTTCCACCCTGAACAAAGGAGACGCCCGCGCGCACCCGAAGAGTACGCGACCGCGCGGATTCGATCTCCGGCGCCGGGTCGGAAAAGAGAAGGACCTCGTCTCACAGGCTTCGGCCTACTTGGAGGGGTTTAGGGTTTAGGTTTTAGAGTTCAGGGTTTGGGGTTTGGGGTTTAGGGTTTAGGGTTTAGGGTTTAGGGCTACTTGGAGGTTCAGGGTAATTACTGGGGAGTAGTAGGGAACCTTGGGTTGCATACCCCCTGTAGCCCCCCTCTCTCCAGGACCCTATCGTTTATAGGGTGATTTTCAATAGCTTCATGCCGCAACTCTTCCAAGGACCAGCACGTGGCCGACGTAGACTTCTACCAACATTTTAAGCAGGTAGAAGTCATCCAGAGAAAGGCCCCTGAAAACGCATCATGCGTCCGATGCACGTCGAACCCTCAGCAACAACAAGGAACTCAAAGACTATAATTTCGTTCTGCTTCGGTTGCTAGTTGCTTCGAGACCGAGAGCCACTTTCAGCCTTATAGTCCCTAACTGTAAACCTTAGGGATCACCCTGAGCCAAAGAGCCTCAGCACGCACTGAAAAATCCCAAACTGGTGGCTTGCCAGGCCCCTGACAGAAGCCAGGCGTGCGCGCGCCGCACGCCGTTGCGAGGGTAGGGAGACGGTCGCGGTGGCGTTCTGTACACAGACCTCTTGGGTTTAGGGCTTGGGGTTTGCGGTTTCGGATTCAGGGTTCCGCAAGTGGCTTCTGCCCGGGGATGCGGTTCAGCGCTAGAAGATCAGAGGCCGGAGCTTTGATCATAGGGTTCTCAATGGGGTATGCAACTCAAGGTTCCCTAATCCTCCCCAGTACTCGTTAAGGCTCCCTAACTTCGCCAGGTACCTACCCCCCATGATACCCCCTCCCTTACTTAGGACCCTGTCATTTAAAAAAAGAGTGCGGGGTATCAACAAACAAGGGGGGTGTCGAAACCGCTTCCCTGCGTACATCGCTACGGCAACGGAAGGTCCGAATGGAACTCGTACTGGAGAGCAAACCCTAAACCCTAACCCTAAACCCTCAACCCTGAAAACCCTAAACCCTAAACCCTAAACCCTAAACCCTCAACCCTGAAAACCCTAGATCCTCAATTTCCGACTGTCAGGTGCAGCTGACGGACTCACATCCAGCCTCCATCCGCGAAATCACTCGTTTCACCTGGGGGAGCTTCTTGGGCCTAAGGGTCCATGTACCTATATAGTATATGTTTGGGGTTTAGGGTTTAGGGTTTTAGGGTTTAGTATATAGGAACCCCTTTAAGGCCCAAGTATGTACTATATAGGTACATGGACCCTTAGGGTTGGGTTATCGACAAGAGTGCGGTCCATGGCAGTAGCAGGGCCCAGAGTCTGCCCTACATATGGTCAGTTCTCAAGTTCTGGAAGACCCTTTTGGGGTACCCGAAAAACTATAGGGGCCCACCCCTTTAAGAAGGAGCCACAAAGGCACCATAGTTTGGAGACATCATCATGTGCAGGCCCAAACAAGCAAAGCCAGGCAATCTGCTCCCTGAAGGAAGAGGGATCCCCGAGCAGCTGAGTTTTCTGGAAGCAGCATGAGTCCCAAAGTGGCCTTTTGTAACTCGGGCTCTCTGACCTCCAAAAAAGGATCCCAAACACTGGGCTTTAAGCCCTGACCCAAGCCCTAAACCCGAAACCCTAAACCCTAAACCCTAAATCCTAAACCCTAAACCCCAGGCCACCTACGCCTGGCGCAAACTTGGGGGCCACCCCCACCCCATGAATGGGGCTACACGAAGGATAGAGCCGAAAGAGCTCAGAAGTTGATTCTGCACCCCAGGAACAGGATCAAAACCCTAAACCCTAAACCTAAACCCTAGAAGCCCCAAAACAGGCCCGGACTCCCTCAACTTAGCTGTGTTCCCCAGCCTCAACCCTTCTTCCTAAACCTTAAGCCCCGATTCAACCCTGAGCCCTAATTTCCCTACTTGGACCCCAAACAACCCTGAACCCTATGCCTTCAACCCCAAACCCTACCCCCCAACAGAAACAAGAGCTGGGCCCCCGAGCGAGTCTAGACAGCGTCTCGATCCCTTCGTCTGAATACCTCGGCGTGGGACGCAGGGTAGCTAGTAACACTGCCTGTTTACCGATACGGTTTAAGTGGTAACTACCCCTTAGATAATAGACATTGGGTCGACTTGAGGTTTACAAACTAAAAC